TGTTTATAATGATTATCGCGTGTTTTCGTTAACTACTTACATCTCACATAAAGMGTAACCTCAGACCGTGGTCCYTGGCCATGTTTGTTATAAGGAATRCAGATATACGTGCCATAGAATGTATTGTCCACAACAACAACATTAGAAATTTTTCCACTTCTCTCCGCATCTCGATAACCCAACGGTATTTCTTTTTTTCCCTTTCTTCTTATAAAAAACTTGTATTCTGGCTTAGGATAGCCCTTTGCCTGGCACATGAAGTTCACGCGTGTACCTAAACTGACAGTGTTTGCGCTGGCATCTGTTTTGAAAGTAGTTGCTTTTGGTTTAACTACAAGGGAAAGAAAAATAAAAGATTATGCATCAGTTACTTGAAACCATGYCCCCAAACCCTCGGAGAAAACCGGGGAAATTATAAGATTTAAGTCCCGGATATCACTGTCGATATAATGCATGKTAAATAATGTTAAATCCCCGGGTATAATATGATTACTCCGCGTCAACAGATCCCCGGGGTTGGTATGTCGTACTAATTACGAAATCTAAGAATTACTTCAGGGAAGTGTTCGCCCCATGTAAGAGAATCCGGAATCCACGGAATTGAAATCCAGCAAAAAAAACTTTTTGAATTGGAATCCCTATCCTGGGATCCGCCGAAATCCAAATATTTGTAAATCTAGAATCCAGAATCAAGCAAAAGTTTTGAAATCCGAAAACAAAAAATTCTTTGGAATCCGGAATCTTAAGGTTTGGAATCCGGTATCCAACTGTTTCGCCGAATTTTACATGGGGCGAAAGGGAGTATGCAGATATTTAGAAAAACTCTCACTACAGATATACTTACAGAAAACTGTGATATTTGTATACACTTCGGCTTTTCCTCCCTTGTTTACTGCCAAACATTTATACTGCGCCATATCATCATCGGTAACTGGATTGAAAGGGATTTCCAGTTTGCCTTTTCGCTTGGCCACAAGTTTTCCATTCTTAAACCACTGAACCTCGGGTCTTGGTTTCCCCTTAGCTTTGCACACAACCTTTTCTTGACGACCTTCATTGTATTCCAATAATGGCGGAGGGTGGGTGACAATTTTCGCTGGGTCTGAAAATAAAGTTCTAGTTTGWACTGATACAAAATGGCCCACCCTAAGTCACTTTGCTTGATATTTCTTAAGTACGAAATTTTATATTGAATTTTTCGATCAAAAAATGGCGACTGGATTTTCCCGCCAAAACTTGGAAACATCGGCGAAGACGACCCGACGCGTGCGCGACATAATAATTTTTCCGCCAAAACTCCAACACACGTGAATTCGCGCCATAAAAGACGGCGTAAGCGACAGAATTTTCCCAGACTCAACTGGATTGTTGGACAAAGTTCAAGARCTCGAGCCTCTTGGAAAGGTAATTACTCTGGTATTATATCGATTTTTTGTTTTTTTAGTTTTTTCCTAGTGAAAWTTCAAACAGTTTTGCTTTAAAATCAAGCCATCAGTTTTAGATTGTCGCTTTRAAAGCCGTCGTTTCAAAGGGCACCATGCCGGCGCTGTTTTTCTCAATTTTTTTTATCACAATTTGTTCTGCTTATAGCTCCCTGAATGAATGATGAGAGCCATACAGATAATCATCTTTAAAATAAAAATTGTTTTCTTTTTTTTTTTCTATCTACAAAAAACAAAGATTAGACAGTAAGTCTACTTTTTAAGTGGGTTTTTCYTAACAAGGCCGCGAGAATTGTTCTTTCTGCCTTGCAAATGGCCGTGCAAAACGTCTCAAGAAACMTTCCTAGTCAAATTGCAAACAGAATATAGGACTAAAGTTATTAATAAACAGATATATTGAGCGGTATATTTTTYGAAGTTGTTTCTCATGTTATGTCGTGTGCGCGCTAATGAAGACATTTTTTTAAATTTTTATTAGTTACACCAGGATCCTACCCCAAAAAACTATAATAAAGAGTACTAATACGTGATTATCATATTATTAACACACACAATTAAACACAACCCAAATTCCCACGGTCAATATAAGGTTTTCGTTATCAATGATATACATTTTGCAAACACGTTACAAAACAGCGACTCAAATTGTATCTTTTTGAGGATGGGCGACACAAGGGAGACAMGGCAGCCCAACATGAAAGTTACATGTAAAAAATAATTATAATATTACACAGCTATTAACTTTAAACATTGAAATATCAGGGTTAATTCATAGTGCGTTAAGAGCGTGAGAAAACGGCATTGAGTACAGTCTYCGTTCACACATCATTAAACATTCTCACGCCGTTATATAATATTTTGTTTATGTTTACATTTGTACAACGATCTGTGAATACAACGAGTTATATATGTAAAAACTATGTGTTTATAAGTACAGATAAAAACTAGAGGCTTACGCGCKCCTGTAAAAACTAAATAAATAAAATTTGGTGGGATTATAACTGTGAGGTGGTTTCAGAAATTGAAATCCATCCCTTGTGATAATGGTGTCTTGATAAATTATTAATTATAAGGAGATGTTTTTGATTAAAATAATACCTCCTGGTTTTGTAAATGAGTTGAATCGCGAAAACTGAAAGCCAGATACACTTTAATAGAAGAATTATAAATGAGACTAAATTGTCAGAAAAAAAAGGTGTCTGAGTGAATGGTTTTAATCTTTTGTACTTTATTTTTTTTCCCTGGAGATTAAAGATTCAAAAACAACTCTTTCATCTTGAAATATTTATGATGGAATCAAAATAGATAGAAAAACGTGATAATCTAAAAAACTGATAAATGTACACAAACTAGATCTAATGYTTATCCTTTTAAGAACTTAATTGAGATAAAGTCCTGCTAACAGCCAGAGTAATATTGTGTACGGATTAACAGAAAATATTGCAAGTGAAGAAAACTGGATTATAGAAACACAAGAAAAGATTATCACTACATCACTTAGTAAAAGATGTAGCTAGAAAAATGAAATTTTAATGATCATGTTTTTCTTAAAGAGTGTATAGTTATGCAAAAAATGTTAGTATTATAGCATTGTAACTTATTTTAGTATAAATATTTTTGTTTGTTGGAGTGATTGCTTATCAAGAATTCTGCAATCACAACAAAAAGCATGAAAACTTCAACCAATTTATACACAATACTTATACATAAAAATTATCATAGAAATTAAAATCATTTTAATTTGGGCACCTTGCATACGTGAATATAAAATCATTAATGTTCATGCACCGCATATATATATATACATATACATAATATATAAATAGAATAAATGAAGAAAAAGCCACGCAACTTGTAACTAGGTTTTCTACTTTTTAATGAAGGTTTCGGCACTTTGGCCTTCTTCAGCAAACATAATATATATTTATCATCTCAGCTAACAGTTATAATTTGGACTAATAAAGACATGAAAAAAAACACACCCATGACTAGATACATACTAGGAATAATGTTTAACATTATTGGTAGAAAATGATAATATCTCCAAATTGATAGCAATATTTACAATATATATACATATACCACAGCCATGGATATTTTTATTATCGGCCTATGTAAACAAATTATTGCCAAAGGCAAAATTAAAAAAAATTCAGGCTCAAAATGCATCCCAAATTGAAAAAGACTTTTAATAATTTTTTTTAATGATATATTTTTTGGTCTGGTTATGGCAAAACCCATTTTTTTATTTGTGACATAGCGTATATATTCATGAACCTATTTAAGATTGTTGACAAACATTTTTGAAATTAAAAATCTCACACAGATCGATTGAATTAGAATAGATTTGTAATGAACATTTGTATAAAATGAAATACCCATTCCCGAATATGGAATCATTACACAACACTATATTTATACCCACTAAAAGAAACTCATCAATCACACTATGAATGAAACATCAAAATGATAATATAAAAAAAATCAAAGCATAGTTTTGTCTGTTGTTTAAACAATAAAAATCAGATATCCAAATAGTTGTCAAAATGTATTTGGCAATTACTGTAGTTTGGCTATATCYGATTTTTCCAAGTTTCTGTAAAAAATTTTTAATAAAAAATGAAAGATATAGAAAATATACAGTATATGATTCACAATAATTTTCTTAATCCTCTCTGCATCTATATTAMTCTACTAAGAATTGAAACAATGGAAAAAACCTAATGAAAAATAGAAATGTGCTATAATTTGCAATTATATTATCAGACAATATTTGATTTAGAATATTTTCAAAATCTTCCCAAAATTTTGTTGTTAAAATGAACATTTCCCTTTATCATTGTCATATATTTGTTAAGACCAGTATGGTTTCTTATCAGCAACAATCTAAACTCACCACAATTTACTTTTATGAAAGTTACAAAAAAGAAAATAAATAAACACCATATCTGTCTACACAACTGTGTCTGAAATCAGGAAATGCCCAATAACGTTACTTCTACTTATCTCAAGTTGGAACAGCTAGAAATACCACTCCAATTACAGTAAGTATTGTAGGTTTACTCAGTAACAGTCACCAGAATAGTTGTGACTTTAGATACCCAAAAATCTGGCTTTGTGGCAAGCCACATGGTATAATAAGTCGTTGAGATAATCTCAAAAAGAACTTTCTACTAGCTACTAATCTTTTCTCTTTTTCATTTCTCCTTTTTTTCTTTTACTTTCTATTTGTATGCTACTCTCTGATTTATGATAATCCATTTGAGTGATGTCARGRTCAGGAAAGGAATAAAAAAATACCYCAAATGTGGAGTTTTGAGCAATGAAAAACAATATCAGAGTGCTGCTATCAACAGTAATGAATGTAATAAAATCTGAAATGGMATACTATTGACTTATCTTTTTTGAATTCTTGTAACTGTTTTCTGTCATAATGTTTCCAAAAACTGACTGTTAAAACTTTCATAAATCCTACAGCCTTTTGTTATAAATATAAAGCTCTTTTAATCCTAAAGCTSGTCTACCAAATCACAATCAATAAATATACCTTCATTATAATTTGTATTTCTGTAGATAATGACAATACAATGACTTAAGAGCACCTCTTTTCTTATTCTAATAACTGCCTTTTGGTAATCTTTTTTTCTTCWGGAGAATACCAGAACACAAAGACTTTGTAAATCTTTTCTATAGAGTTAAGCATAATTACCTWGAATATAATATTCAACTTCTCTTTCAATAAGCTTTCACACCCCTCCTACTTCCAATAAGGTTTAACCGCTATGTTAGATTACAAATAATATTTACAACTTATGCCCAAACGACATCACATCAACACAACTGCCACTACATCAACTATTTGCTCATAAGACACAACCACACCAGACTCCTCACACTACCAAATCCTTTCAAACTACTACAAATCATAATTAAAAAGGCAAAACAATAGCCACGTTTAGGAAGGCGCTTCGGGCTTTAGAACAGTAATTTAGCGTTTTGTTCAGGAGGCATTTTAATACATGGCTATTATCTGACCCTGACTYGAGAATGTATCATTATGTAGAACTTGAGTGAAACGTACAGAATTTCTTTCTCCCTTTATTTTTATATGTCTTCTTATCAGCGTCTAAGTCACAGAGTAAACACTTTGTTAGATATTCGTCAGGTGTCCATAATATATGCCACTATAGTTTCTATTGTATTAAAGCAATTACGTGAAACGATGAGCAATTTACCCAGCCAAATCTTACTCATTGAGTACATTTCGGAAATCACTTCATTGAAACTAGTTACATGTGAGCAGGAAGTTGGCAAGACGATTTCCTCATATACCGAAATTTAACAACCGAAGCATCGGTTTAGGCTATAGTTACCAATCAAATAAGTTGACAGTATAGTCAGAATGAATTAAGATCCATCCGTAAAATAATAACACAGTCTAAGATTTGCAGGAAGTTGACCAAAGCGCGGGTTVAAATTCAGACTTTTAGCATTGAAAAGTACACATCTAAAGTGTACAAAAAAATGCGTTATTTTTCCAATTATTGCAAAAATACAAAACGCGTTGAACAACGGAGCAATTGTCTGTATTCAACAGTAGTCTAAGTTTGGCTTATCCAAGCGCTGAAGTACAGCCAAATTACTCCTCTTTTAACTGGTAAACTATTTACATTTGCGCCCGTAAAAACACTTCTCAACAATGAAAATTTTTATGTCAATAAAGKCGACYGAAGCGCGAAGGCTGTCAACAGCATTAAAATTATCACTGTAAGTGTATTTCTCGAGTTTAATGGAGCTCAGATAAGAATGAGATGAACCCGACAGCCTCTACTCGAGGAATATTACACAGTCGGAAAAGTGGTAAAACGTTCGATATTTTTCACCTGCTCCATGCTAAATTGAGGGGTTTCCCGCAGTCGTAAGCGACTAACAAGCATATTAAGAGCCTTGTTTTATCCGTTAATTTTTTCTCTTTTCTTCGCACGTTCTCTAACCAGTTGACTATCTTTTCATCTTTACAAGAAAATATTAAGCGTGAAGTTAAGTTATCTCCGGTTTGAATTCCAACACTATTAAAATACAAATAAGAAAACACAAACTCAACTGGTCAAGGATTTGACATTTGAACARAACTTTCTTCGAGGCTGAATGTTCTAAAATGACCGCGCAATAGAGAACAGATAGTCCACTTATTTTGACCACCAAAAAACAGAGCTTATCGGGTCAAATATCTTAGAACGAAAAAGATTTACCTCTACATGCCTAAATAACATACGTAATACTGATTTTATGTTTAACAATGTCATAAATGGGTCATTGTGACAGCAAATATAACTCCAGATCGATTTGATCATTCGTTCTMGAACAAAAAATCTCGGTTTGCCAAACAGCTGAAAACCGCAAAGCAGAGCATAAGTATGCCTAAGTCTAGCCGAGATAGAGGCGCGAATTCTTGAGCGCGTAACATGAACATCAAACAGATTATGTTTATCGTTTATGTATCTATTTACTCACCATAAACTCGCAGAAATATTTTCTCCTTGACAGTTACAAACTGCGTTCGAATCTCACAGAGGTAGAAGCCCTCGTCGGAGAGCTTTGCGTCTGAGATGACCAAAGATGATCCATCGGAAATTTTCACGCGAGGCGAGAGGCTCGAGTCTAAGTCTTTAGATTTGACTGGTGAGGATTCGTCTGGCGTTTTCGCATAGTAAATGGCYTGAAAATTTATCCCTTGTTTGTCTGCTTTGCCCCAGAGTATAGCATCATATTGTTGACCGCCGGTATTGTATGACCATATTAACGAAGCAGTCTTACCCACATTGACCTCCAGTTGAGCTTTCTTCGCTTTGATAGTAAGATCCGACGCATCCACTGTTCCTGTTGAGATTCACATTGGAATTATCAATCGTACTTTTGCCACAACAAAAAGTCCTTACACTATACTAACCAACCTACAAAAAGCCACAACTGAAACACTGACAATCACTCTATTCTCACCTAAAAGTTTAAGAAAAGCCAGGCTGTACAAACATGTGTATATTACAGTAGCGCAGACACCGCGCGTCCACATCTCCACCATCCCACAGTGGTTGAGTTCGTTCCCTGGTTTAGAAATCAATAGCACATTAACAGTGAATWGGCTTTCCTATAAACGCTCCATAACACGATAGACACTGCTAAAGAGATCGATCTGTGGTTTATATTTAAAGCACAATTCGAGACGACCTACGCGTTCCTACTACGCTCACTGTAACACGAAGCAATTTTTAGTGTCACTCAAAGCTTCACATGCTAGATTGCGTATGCTAGTGATCAGTGTGTTGTTGTCAATTACGACCCGGTGACAWATCTAACAGGGCCATCAAAATAATAAACCGWGGGGGGAGGGGGAGGGATTAGTCGCTACACATAAGAAATACCTGGTTTTCTTGGATCAAGTATGTCACTTTAGAGGARYGCTTAACTTAAATTTTCAGCGTACATGGCTGAAGGTCAAGAAAGTTGTGATCGCCCGGTGTTGTAACGACAGAAAGCCAATAGTTCCTTTAAGAATCTACCGCACCGTGACGAACCACTTACAATAGATTTGAGTTACAAAATCCCGAGCTAAAGAAATCGATTGTGCSTGTCAGCATCCCACTCCTCGGTGGACAAATACCGTGGCATCGGATTRTTTGAATATGAATGAATTTTGCGGTCATTGTTTACYTAATTGTAAGAATGATTAGTGGCAAATGACTGAAGCAAACGCCTCGAACAAAAAGAAATTAATGCAAACGCATGATTAAAARCCATAACGAGTATGAAAAAGAACTTTTAGGAGAGCCGTATTATGACGCTCGGTGGATGTTTGGCGCCAACTTTCATCGGTGTCGAATGTTTACCCATTTGTACAAGAACCAGAAAGAGCGTATAGACTGACAACTCGGTGGTGATAGGTTAATGAMGGTACTTGACGGTTAAGTCACCAAAAATAACAACATTATTCACACCGAAAACTTTCCGCGATTATGCAAAACACAAGGAAATTTAGTGCACCACAGTGCATTTCTACCACTCACAATAATTACGAATATTTGATGATGTTTKATGACTTGTTATGAAATAAGAATGAGCTTACAACATTATTACAAGGGACTAATTGCTTTTACACTTATTAACACTCGTATTTAGATCTTAAAAATCATATTCTGCTGTATTTGAACATCACTATACAGTGTTTGGCAGTACATCTCCATGACAAGGTCAGACAAGGAGGAGTCTGCAACAACGATMCACAAGGATCTTCTCGTTTCCTGACCTTTTGGCTTTAAAATAGTTGTTTTTGCCAAGTATCCCACTTCTTTCACGGCCCTAAGAAGGCTTCAAAGTTTCCGATGCCAAGAAAATCTATTGCATGACATTTCGAGTATCTTTGGAAATGAATAAAAAAAAATCGCGATGGGTGTCCTGTTTGGAATTTTCTAATTTTACAAAACGTCATATGCGCTGGTCGCTAGCGATATTTGTAACTCTTAATCCTTTTGTACACTGGTCCGGCTCATACTGATCCAGTCTTGCTTAAGAAGGAAATCTGTGCAAATCTTCTGAGAGCTTACAGCTCTGTAGGTATTACTTCGTTTCTATATTATTGCATATGGGAAAATCGATGCAGGTCATGCAATGATCATAAAAAACTGCAAAGTATCAACTGAAAATTGTTTACGCAAAGATACTTTATTGCCGTGATGAATTATATACTAATCGACGCTGATTATATTCTCATGAAATTATAAATCCTTGGGATTAAACGATCAAGTAAATATTTTACTTTCTGGGATTTTATAACATCCAATCATTCTATGCTATCTTTTGCTGTTTCCGGCGTCCTTTTTTTCTCGTGTGAAAACACCGATTTTTGCTTGTATTGAACGTTGCGGATAACTTTTGTGCAGGGCTTGCGAAGTGAAAGCCTACGTCGTCATATCAGGTTCTAAACACGCATGCAACAATTTGATTTTAAAAGCGATTTTTTGGATCTCGAAAATATTAATTTACAATATATTCTTCGGGCTTTTCAGCGTATCCTTCTAGAGATCAAAGACGAAGCCTACACTGAATAGTCATTGGCATTAAAAGGTAATGCATGCCACTGATTGCATACAGAAAATTTCGCTGATGACACCAAGTTACGCCAAACATMCTTATTKCTRCAACTCGGCCTCAATCCAAGAAAGTACATTTTAAGAGATAGCAAAAAGGGCAGAKTTCAAATCAGTAACCTTTCGTACCGACTTCAAAATGAGAARTGAATGCGAAATAGAAGATTCTTGCATGGTTACAGGAAGATCGTGCCAAACACATTGCTACGCGACCACAAAATCAAATTACAATGAACAGCGTCACAATCAGCCCGCKTTCCATTGTCATAGACTATAAAAAGAAAAAGGAAAGGCTTGTCAAATCGGGAATTCAGTCTCCGGCCGCGTCAATATCCGGTCTATTTATATACGAATGTTTYAAGTACGTCAAAACGGCATCTGAAGAGTTTCCTGAATATGCCTCTCACGAAACTCAAGCATGAGAACACAACGAATRCATGATCTTAAGCTCATTCGCAGCTTTCTTGTCGATTTGGGTTTGCTCAACAGAACTCCGCTTCTGATTTCACTTACTCTTTTAATCACCCCAATATGTTTTGTCTGAGGCACCGAGCTCATCAATTATTAGGGTATCCTGCGTTCTTAGAATTCCTGATGGCTTTCACTCCATCTTGAGTAAGTCTCTTTGTGGTCACATTTGTTATCTTGAAAAAATAATGCTCGTCTACCCCCCGGACAGATGGCTATAGTGACTTTGAGTTTCAAAATGTCAAACGTTAAAACGTCTTTAAATCAACAAAAACAGGACGTCAGAAAAAAAACAAGCACATTTTTTTAAGCCAAGGGTTAAGCTTGCCCAAAAAGTGGAACATTTGTCTAGCAATCCGCTGAGTGGGTTCTTGACAGTTATGAACTCAGCGTCTCTGCCTGCTGAATAAACGATAAGTAAGACGCCATTATGCAATGGGTCGTTCCACCCCGACAGCGGTTTCGTGACTTGAAAGCAGCAATCAATTAAAAAGGTTTCCATYGTCACTCGCCTCAATTTCAAATAATTGCCCATARAATGATCCTCTTTGTGAGTAATTAGTCAAGCCTTGCCACAAATTATTTCACCAATTCGTGTAGCCGTTAGTATACAGTGAAATGAACACAAAATCATCGGACGGTGTCATGCTGTACTCAAAATTAGATGKGAAACCGATACAAACATACCTGGCTTAAGATAAACCAGCAAATATACAACAGCTTTGGAATAAATTAGCCAATGGTAATAWCTCTGACAAAGGATGGGTTCTGTATTAACGTTATTCCTAAACAAGCTCTTCAGATGGTTATCTTTGCAGATGAGCGTAGTTAGGATGTTTGCAAAGAAAGCGAATCCAGCTGWGTTGAACTGTGGGCTTCTTTGTTATCGTGTTTTTTGGCTGTGATTACGGACAAGTTGGGCCAAGCTGTATTTTAATAAGATAGAAAAAAAAGTTAACTTTTGATGAGTTGTTGAATAGAAATATTATTAAATCGGATAATACTCGGGGTTTTAAATAGTTTAACTCCATTGCAAAAAGGCGGGGCTTAATTCGTAAATGATAATCTAAACTAGCTGCAGAACTAGAAGAAAAGCAAAAACATCAAATTATTTCTCCATTTTTCAATTTCAAGTTCAAGCGTGTYATATTTGCCAAGTGGTAACTATTGTTTGGACGAGGCAAAAACTAGGCGTGTTCAGGGAGAGCTCTGGATCGTAAAGTATTTTCAAATCCCCATATGGGTGTAATTTGAGGGCCATTTCACTGTATCGCACGCCGAATCTCACTTACACGTGCCGAGATCAATGGCATCACTCCAATTCAAATGCTCTTGATTATCATTCCCTATATAAATTGTTTTGAATATATTTCGATACACGATGGATTCGGGGATGAGAATTGGACTGCTCCAATCAGCTATGTTCCTGCAAATCATCAGGAAATGAAAAAATGGGACAAGAATAAGGGAAATGAAGATAAACTATAGAGATCGAAAAGAAAGAAAGATAGGAAGATAAAAAAGTGGAAAAAAGAAACGAAACGACATGAATTCGCACGTGCTCTGTAGATGGAAGACTACAATGGTGTCTTGTAGGAGAGAGACATAATACAAGAATTGTCATCCAAGATGGCAGGGCAATTTTCCAGCAATTAGTCCTATCGCGCGAAACATGATATCAGATCAGGTCTTATTTTGACTCGTTCCGGGAGACAAAACATTGAAATGAGAATGGAAAGAAGTGGATACACAGAAAAGAAAATTTAAAGGGAAATTTCAAGCACAGTAATCTGTACTATTGTCRCAATAACAGCATTATATCCACTCGGTAAAAATACATGATGGAAACCAAGAAACGACGAGACTGAAACTGCTAAATAGTCCGTAAAGGAACTTTCATGCCATATTGGGATTAAGCTAGAATGCTACAGGGATCTTGGCGAGTGCTTATCTGCTGAGGTGCAAGAACACCAATATGGAGCAACAAGAAAAAAAGGGAAAAAAATAAGCTTTCGGAGATCGTAGGTTCGTAAGTCAATTTCTACTGTAAAGATGGAATAAAMTGATGGCAGAGATTTAGAAACCAAATCATAGAGCAAAGTTTCCAAAATTGTGGGTACATTTCATTCGAAGCAACGCAAACACAACAAGCTCATTCAGTTCAACAGACCAAATCGTACCACACAGATTGTAATTTCAGAAATCATAAGTCTTGGTGAATGATACGAGTATTAGCTTATTCTCAGACAGGATTGGGTRTAAATCCATTCAATCTGACAGACATACTGGGTAGAAAGAAGGCATTTGAAAGCGGACAGTAGATTTGACACTACAAMCCACGCACGAACGCGCAAGMAAAACTAAGATMGATRATTATTTTGACAAATGATTCATGGATGAATGGATGATTGAATGCGATTTGAATAAAGTCCAAAAGGTCGAGATTACTTTATAAATTGCCGTCGTTAYGTCTCCAGTCCCTCGCAAGATTCAAACGCCACACGCGCCATATTGTCCGGAATGGCCAGATATCATCTAACCCAAACATGGTGCTGGGCGGGCAATTCATGTGCATTAAAATAGCTAGTTTTTTTTTATCGAATTTCAAGCGGCAATAAAATTTTGATAGAAAAGCTCTTGACATTAATCTCATCATTAATTTTATCTATGATTTGTTGATCCAATATTAATTTTAGTGCT